ATCCTCTTGTTGGCTTGATCCCTTTATCTTAATGAAGTTATATCCACTTGTTGGGTTGATATCTTTCTGCCACGGGTCATCCATGATGAATTAGAGAGGAGCACCACAGCAGCACCCTCACAGGGTCTTCCTAGAGCCTTTCTCATACAAGTTTGCCAGCAGGCCAGCTCTCTAGAGGTAACTCTGGCTTGCAGGGAAGCTCGTAAGTCTTTTCTTTGTTTCTTGTTACAGCCCTTGTTTTAAAGTCTATTTTGCCTGTTTTAAGTATCGCTACTCCAGCTTTTTTTGGTTTCCATTTGCATGAAATATCTGTTTTCATCCCCTTCAGTCTGCGTATGTCTTTTGATCAGAAGTGGGTCTTGTTTTTCTATATATTTAGCCACCGTATATCTTTTGTTTGGAGCATTTAGTCCATTTACATTTAAAGTAATTATTGGTAGGTATGTAGTTATTGCTATTTAATTGTTTTCTGGTTGTTTTTATAATTCCTCTCTTATTCTCTCGCTTTCTTGTATGTTGATGACTTTCTATACAGTTTTATGTCTGGATTCCTTTCTCTTGTATATCAAACAGAATTTTGGTGTGTGGTTACCATGTGCTTCGTATATATCAGCTATGTTTACTGTAGTATGTTTTATATTTATAGTTGCTTAAATTTGAGCACATTGTAAAATTACTACAATTTTTACTCACCCTCTTCATGTTTGTTTTGCTACTTTTTACTTCTCTGTGTGTATCAATTTATTGTTGTAATTACACATGATCTTCTTTTGCCTTTTCACTTTTGTACTAGTTTTATAAATGATCTACTGCTTTAAGTGTTTGCCTTTGTCAGTGAGAATTTTTTCTTCCCTCTGTTTTCTTATTCATATTTTTCATCTTCTAAAAGAAGTCCCTTTAACATTTCTTGGAATACTGGTTTAGTGGTAATGAACTTCTTTAGCTTTTTCTCGTCTGGGAAACTATCTTTCCTTTGATTCTAAATGATAGCCTGCTTGGTAGGTCTGAAGACTACATTTGATAAATAAATTGGTATGGGTCAAGGTCATCTGTTGTCTGCGCCTGGCCCAGGGCCATCTGGTAGGATCTACCAATTGATCTACAGTTGGTAGCTGCCTGTGCTGGGTTTAGAGGCACCTGGAAGAGGCTACGCTGCAAACCAAAGGTGGCTGCCACTTGTGCCAGGCTGGGGGGTCACTTAACCCATTTACCGTTTGTCTTGAGGATACTCGCTGGCAGCGTTTGGGGTTGCAGCATTTACCCCGAGATAACTCGTGGGTTACAAACTTAACCTTATCCCCAAAGTTTGCTATGAAATATCTTGCTTTTGTTATTATTTTTGCATCGTTCTAGTGTAACAATAGTCTTTGGAAACAAATGACATCATTTTATTTATAGCATTCTGTTTTTAGTAGTGATATTTCCATTTATAAAATGTAGTAATTCTCAATCTCTGAAAGTGTCAAATCTTTGAAAACGTAGCATTCCTAGGCATGATGTTAATATCGTTCTTGAACAGTCATTAGCCAAAGATTCATTTGATGAATTTGATTTATGTACACATTTCTGTTACATTAGGATTAGAGACAAGTTCTGTTTAGAAATAACTCTAAGAATCGTTTTTATATTTTCACGTTGAAAACCAGTCAGATTTGCTTCAGCTTCAAAGAGCGCGTTTATGTCAAATTAAATTAACACAGTAAGCTGACTTTTTTTCCTGAACAGGAAATGGGTTAACAAGAGGTATAGTTCACACCAAGGCAAATGCTACTTGTTTGGGGTTTGTGGACCTTTCCGAGATTTTAGTAAAGTCTGCAGAGATTTTCGGGAAGTCACAGCATGGGCATGGGCTGGATGCTTAGGTGGACTAGCCTCTGAAAGATGTTTGGTTTGTCATGTGAATCGAGTGGAGCTAGTTCTCAGAGAATCACCAGGGTGGGACAAGATTGTTGTTAACCAAGTTAATGGAGACTCAGATATGATGAGTGCCTACCTGTGCTTGCAGGCTATGGCGGGAGTGGGGTCGCTCAGCAGAGGATCTGCCGACTTTGTGGGGGGAAGGCTCAACAAAGGAACAAAATGGTGGAGAGAGCTACTCCTCCAGGCTTCACCCTGAAGTAAGAGAGTTTAGTTCCTCCCTGTATGTCACTGGCTCCTTTTGAGCTGATGTACCAGTGCTGGAGTTCAGAGTGACTGAGTCTGTCAGCGAGTAAGTTCATGCACAGGCCCTTTAAGAGGAGTGCCTGGTACTCCAGCCACCCTCTGTCTCACTCAACCACAAACTCAGCTGGTTTTCACAGTCGGATCTTTTGGGGACTCCTCTTCCTGCCACTGGATCCCTGGGCTGGGAGCCTGCTATGGGGCTGAGACCCCTTGCTCCTCAGGGACGGTGGGGGCAGAACCTCTAAAACCAAGATATCCCTCCTGGTTCTTAACTGCCTCACATGGGTTTGGGACCATCCCGTTTCGCATCTCTGCCCCTCCTACCAGTCTCCACGTGGCTTCTTCTTTACATCTTTAGTTATAAGAGTTCTGTTCAGTTAATCTTCAGGTGATTCTCAAGAGTGGTTCTATAATTTAGCTGTAATTTTGGTGCGGTCATAGGAGGAGACGAGCACACTGCTGTCTTGACTGGTAGTTCTATTTTATTCTTTTTGATGCAGTTGTAAATGGGATTGTTTTCATAATATCTACTTCTATTTGTTCATTATTAGTGTATAGGAATGTGATGGACGGATTTCTGTATATTAATTTCATATTCTACTTTACTGAATATAGGGTTTTCTATGTATATTATGTCACCTGCAAATAGTGATAGAGGATTATTTTAAAGAGCCTTGAATGTCTGCATAATAAATGCTTCTAGAGACTGATAATTGATGATTCCATCAATGTGAATGACCCCAGAAGAACTGTCTCCTGATATGACATTTGGTGATTCCTTCAGGCTTTCTGCTTGGTTACCCTGCAGTGAAGCCCTAAATCTATAAGCTACACTCACATATCCAGAGCTTCTCGTAAGTGTTTTTAATTGAAGTAAACCACATTCGGTAAACATAAATATACTCATGTGTACACACATATAACAGAATTATAAGTTTACAGCTTGAGGAATTTTCACAAAAAAATATACTGTGTAACAAGCACTCAGATCAAGAAATGGAACATTAGCTGTCCCACAGAAGCTCCCTTCACATGCTCTTCCATTCACTGCCAGCAATGAAGGTAACCAGTAACCTGACTACTAGCACATAGATTAATTGTGCCTTTCTTTGAATTGTATATAAATGAGATTATACAGTACATATCCTTTTGAGTCTAATTCCTTTTATTTACAGTTACGTTTGTGAGATTCATTCACATTGTCGCACAATTGTAGTTTATTCAGTATAACACCACAATTATTCTACTGTTGATGGGCTATTTCCATTTGTTACTGGTGGGTAATTTCCAGTTTGGAGCACTTAAAAACAATACTTCTGTGAACAGTTTGTGTACATTATTTAGTGACATAGATACACATTTACCTTGAGTATATACTTAGGAGTAGAATATTGGGTCCATTGGGTTTTTAGCTCTGCATTGTAATATATAAATGGACAGCCAGTGATCACTAGATATTTGAAGAAATCCTCTAATATGAAAGAGAATAGACATGAACTCAAAGAATTAAAATGAAAATTTAATAGAATTTGAGGAAATTTACAGAAAGCAAAGCAAAAAGACAAAAAAAGGTAGAAAATAGGAGACAAAAGTTAAAAGGTTTAGAAGGTAAGAACTATAAAAATATAGGAAAACTGTAAAACTAAAAGACATGAATTTTCGTATGGAAAGGATTCTCAGCACAACAGATGATAAAAGATTCATATCAAGGCACCTCATTATGAAATTTCTGAACACCACGAATAAAGTGAGGAGTTGAGGAACGAAACTATTCACGTGCAAAGGGTCAGGAATCAGATGGCATCGGAAGCTAGAAAACAATGGAACAATGTCTGAATTCCTGAGGGAAAATTATTAATTCAGAATTCTATACCTAGTGTAATTTTAAAAAGTGAAGATAGAATGAATTCATTTTTAGAACATGCAAGGATTCAATATATTCGTGACCCCTTTCTCAGGAAGCTACTGAAGGATGTGCTCCAAGAAGACATGGGATATAGGAAGTAGGGGTTCTCCATACCACAGAGAGCGATGGATGGAATTGTCAGGGTGACAGTGAAGAGAAGTTCTGGGATTATAGCTGTGTAGCAGGCCAAAGAGCAACAAGTCCAATTGGAGCAGAAAGATAGAGGGTTCTGGCAAGGGTGTTGCCAAGAGTTTTTTAAAAATAATTTTTAATATAATTTTTTAGAGAAAAAGGACTTCGATTAAATTTGAGTATTTGAATATTTGCAAAATGGTAAATATTTTGACCTTATAAAGTAAATGGAAGAATGTAATATAGCTTATCGAGAATGATATTTCATGGTGATCATACTGTAATTACTGATTGATCTAAAAATCAGTATGTTTTGGGGAGTAGAAGTTAGGATGCGTGGGGATTAGTAGTAAAAGAGAGCTGAATTCTTATATACTAATTAGGAGTCAGTAGATGATTTCTAAAATCAGTAAATTTAAAAATAGCAATATAAACATTATTTAGAAGTATGGAAGTAAATACCAAGAGCCACAGCTAAAAAAAAAGATGAAAGTTATTTATTTTTAATGAATAAAATTGAGAGGGAAGAGATGGGTCATGGGATTAATATTTTTCTCTTACTGATCTTTTGGCACTTTGTAATTATTTTAAAAAGTGATTAGAGTGTACGCATGCGCTACTTGATAAAACTAAAAACTAAAATAAGTATCAGTGACAAGTTCTTTTAAGGAGCATTAGGATTAAATATTCCCAGTAAAAGGGAGTCAGATATAGAGAAAAAGAAACGTAAGTTTACCTTTTGTATTTAAAAGGGACTTTTTCCTTTGTTTATTTCCGTTTTTGTTTTGTTTCATTCTAGGGCTTCAAAAACAAACCAAAAAAGATGGGTCACATAAAGCCAGACTTGATTGATGTTGACTTAATAAGAGGTGAGTTCTAAATTTGGTTTGTTCCCTATGTATACTATTATTTTGTAGTAGCACTAAAGATTATGTTTAGATATCTTCCCTATGTGATAGTGTACTTTCATTTCCAAAAGTAATGTTCTTACCTCATCGTTCAGTCTTGAGCATTTTTTCCTCCTTTGCTTTAGTACTGCGTGGCTACATAAATTACATGGTTTCCATAAGGATGAAGGAGGGGTGAACTTGGAGACTCACTGTTGTGTAATTAAGAAAAATATATTGTATAACATTCAAGTGAGCCAGACTTATTTTGAGCTCCTATCCCAGAGATAGAGGCAAGAAGTTATTACATTCAACAAACATTTTTGCTCTCACCTGTTTTTAATAGTGTTACAAGTGGGTATTGCTATAGTGCATGTAAAGGTTTGATGTTTTGTTTTATTGTATATTTAAAGGCTCAACATTTGCCAAAGCCAAACCTGAAATTCCATGGACATCCCTGACTCGGAAGGGGCTTGTTCGAGTTGTGTTTTTCCCATTGTTCAGCAGTTGGTGGATTCAAGTTACCTCTTTAAGAATCTTTGTTTGGCTGCTACTGCTTTACCTCATGCAAGGTAATTGGAGGAGATGGAATAAGTTATGGCAGTTGTTTTTTTTAGCTGCTTTTGCTATTAGATAATGCAGACCTTGCTGTTCTTACATTGACCCTTTTATTTGATGGTTTAAAGTTCAAAGAAATGAAGGGACGCACACCATTTGGAGATCATCTTAAAATTATTTGTTCACAGAGAGCAAATACAATTGTTGCAGTCTCCCCTCCTGAACTTCTTCCCTCCTGCCTCATTGGCCAGGCCTTCTGTCTTCTCTTTGACATTTGAATATTGGATTACTTCCAGGGTGGATCCCAGATTCTCTACCCTTCTAGGTATTTTCATCAAGCTCCATTGTTTTAAATATAGTTGATATACTGGTGATTCTCAAATTTATATCTTCAGGCCTGATCTCTGTTGAACGTCCTACTTGTACATCTAATTGCCTGCTCGATATTTCCATGGAAATTTAGTGGGTATCTTGAATTTATATCCAAAATGGAACTCTTAATTTTTTTTTTTTTAACAAATTTTTTTTTTTTTTTTGCAAAAGCATGTTCCTTTCTTGGACCTCCTACATTTCATTAAATGATACCAGCAACTGCCCAATTTTCAAGTGAAAACTAAGTCTTCCTATTCTACTCTGCCATCAGCTCTCACATCCCATCTGTCACCAGGTCTGTGAGCTCTACCTCCAAAGTATGTCTTCATTCTGTCTATCTCAGTCTCCGCTGCCACCATCAGAGTCCACAGCACCAGCATCTCTGCTTAGACCACTAGAATGACGTCTGCTCTGATCTTCTTTCTACCAACCACTCTTTTCACAGCAATTAGAAAAATCTTTTAAAACAGAAACTATGTCGCATCATGTTCCTGCTCACAACTTTTTAGTGACTTCTCATGGCCCTTAGAAAGAAAATGCAAACTCCTGAGCACTCCTTCTTGCTAACCTCTTTTACATCATGTCTCACCCTTCTCCTCCGTGCCCGCTCTGGGCATAATGGCTTTTTCTGTGCCTCACACAGAACTTTTCTTTCTTTTTGAAACAATCTTAAGCCTTTTCACATGGCGATCTTTTTTCTTTTTCAAGATCTCAGTTCAGATGTAACTTTCATAGAGAGTCTGTCCCCACATATGCTTTCTAAATCGTCCTACATTCCCCAGCCACTATCCCAGGAGTCTATTTTGATTTCTGTATTAATTAATTTCTATATTTATTGATTAAACTGCCTGATTTTTTTCTTCTCTTCTCACAATGTACAGGGACTCACTTCATTCTCTTTACCACTATATCGCCACCGCCTACCAGGAAAGCTCTCTGAAAGTGCGCAGTGTACACTGCTTAACCCTGTGCAAAAAGACTCGAATGAGAACAGAGAGAAGCGAAGGTTGGGTTAGGGTGGAAGGGTTTAGGGTGATTTTTGTTTTCTCATGTCAGTTCTTTTTGAATTAAGTTATAGAATGAATAATATCTCTAAATTTATGTATTTATGAGTTTAATTTTTTAAAGTTGTGACAATGCTGTTCGATAGGATTTCTGTGATCATGGAAATTTCTTACATGATTATGGTAAATACAGTAACTATTAGCCACGTGCGCCTACTGAGTACTCAGAATGTTAGTGTGAATAAGGAACTGCATTTTAAATTTTATTTCATTGTACTAAAGTCTTCACAACTATCATTTTAATGGTTGTATAATTTTCCATTATATGGACACACCACTTAAAACTCATTTTAATGTCTGTATAAATCTATCATCTGAATTTACCGTAAATACTGTTTTATAGCTACGTAGTATTCCATTATGTAAAACTTTATAAAACCATAATATACACAACCCTTCCCATATTGTGAGCATTTAGGTTGCTTCTATTTTTTCTCGTTATGCCATCATGAACAAAATTTTCCATATTTTATATTTCTTTAGGATTTATTCTCCAAGACAATTAATAGGCCAAAGAGTGTCAACATTTTAAGGCTTTTAGTACATATAGTGAAATTTTCGGTGCCACAGTTCTTTTGGAAAGTAGTGGATGAGAGTGCCTGTTTTACTGCAATCTTAGCATCATTATAATTTGGAAATTGTTACGTAATTTGATGTACAAAAACTATCATTTTACTCATTTAATGTGCATTTCTTTGGTCATTTGTAAGCAGAGAGTTAGCTATTTTCCCATGTGTGTGTTATTGAAGAATTTGTTTCTTTCTCATCTGGATAAGTTATACGTATTAGGTTTTCACATATACTGCCGTCTGTTTCTGGGCTACATACTCTGCCCGTCGGTTGTACGGTTATCCTCATAGATCATTGTGCTGCCAGGAAGGGCTAATGTGCAAGAAGAGGTGTTAAAGGAAATTACGTGCTTTTACTTGTGGACTTTATAAAACGATAGATTTTTGTCGAAATAATTTGTGCAGTTGCTCAAATTGGTTTTAAAGATGAGCCCTAATGTTTTACATTTTTGAAACCTTTTCTTTTCAGTCATAGCACTCGTGCTGTATTATATGATGCCCATTGTGAATGTAAGCGAAGTGCTTGGACCCTTGTGCCTTATGTTACTCATGGGAACCGTCCACTGTCAAATTGTGTCTGCTCAGATAACAAGGCCATCCGGGAGCAACGGGAACCGGAGGAGAAGGTGAGATGGGACAGTAGCTCTTGGTGTGCTGTTCTCTGGGAAAGGCATTGTAGACATTTATAAAGGCTTCGGTTAAAGTAATAAATCTTTCGATTTGCATATATTTTTTGTTATTTTTTGGCCTAAAAGAAAACCGAATACTTTGCTTTTCACTTTTCTCCTTGATGTGAAGAAACCTCGTCATGAACTTTTAATCCAGCGTGGGATTTTTGTTATTTAGTACAGTTGCTTAAAAGGAAATTCTTATACTATTCCTATGTTATTTTTTTAGTTGAAAATGAATTTTTCTTGATTTTATTGTCCTATATTATTATTAATTAAAATTTATAAATAATGCTTTTGCAACAACGGTCTCCAAATTCGGTTTTAATTAAAATTTGGTGAAAATTTTGATTTTCAAGGATCCTAGTACATTGGGTTAGTGTTACTAAAATTTTTTTACCTTTTTCAATAGTGTATAATAAAAATGGATTTCTAAGTGTTCTAAGCTTTAAATAAAGATTAATTTGACTTTTCTACACATTGAATTTGTCATGTTTTTATTGATTATGTGCTATGTGTGGGTTTTGAAATTGTTAAAGGTTTCTCAGGTATATGTGGTATTATCTTTTCTCAGAATATCTGCAAATTTTTGTTCCCCTAAGCAGTTACTAAATAAGACTTTTTTCATTTGGTGCACCGAATTTTAACATATTCTTTTTGAATATTATTTTCAAAACAAACTTTTTTTTTCTCCTCAAAAAAGAAGATTCCTTGAAAATGCAGTGCAAATGATTTAACGTTCGCTGAGGAAATAAAATGCTGTGTTGTGTCTTGTTGGTATTTATAGGACGTATCTCGTAACTGCATAGGACATCAGTAATAAGAGATCAGTTGCTATTATTTTGTGTCCTCCTGTTTAAATGTCAAATGAGTAGATTTCTGACATCTGTATTAAAAAAAAAAAAAAAGTTTCTTCTGCTAGCAGTGCCTGAAGAGACTCTTAGTGATACATGTGAACGTTTTCCTTCTAGTAACCTCTTTGAATAGCAGTTCTGTTTAATGGTCGAACAAAATAACAGCACAGGACTTTGGTTTGGAACCCGTTTTTGCCCTTAAGTCAGAAATATTCCTGCAAATTAATTCTGTTAAATGAATTTCGCTATACTTAGTTTCAGGTAGTAATCTGTTAGTAAAATTTCCTGGAGGAATATTTTGGGGGAGAAATAGAAAAGGTCTTGAATAATCTGAATTTGTTGAAACATTTTTTATAGAAAATTACGAAAACCTGTAAATGGTGATGGGAGCCGAGAAAATGGAAATAACTCCTCTGATAAAGTCAGAGTTGTGGAAACTGTGGAACCTGCACCCACTGGTGGTAGTTTTTGGGGGACTCTCTTTGGCAACAGGTGGGAAGTCTTTGGAATTTTTACTTAATTTTGTATTCACATTAGTGTTTACGCAGTGTGTAATCTGATTAGGTCCTAAGAGTACATAGTGCAAACTTACTACCATTGTGGAGTGATTTTAAAGGGCTCTAAAATGAATTGCTTACTCAAAATGTTCCTACTGTCTTGTCATCTTACCAGTAAGTCCAGTAAAACCATAAAAGTTTTATTCTGTTTGATCTTTAATGATTTTTTAGACCACAAGATTACAGAAATACAAGTACTCTGGAAAGGTAAATAGTTTAAGCTATCTGAGCCAACATCGTAAGACAAACATGGGGTATTTGTCAGTGTGAAAGCTGATCACCTCCTTAGAAATGGGAGGCAGGACAGAAGGCTAGTGTCAACGGGCTATAGGACAGAAAGGGATGGAGATCCGAGACAGATTCCACCTTCTTCCTGATCTGGCAGGCCGTGGCAGCACTAGTGACAGCACAAGATAAGGAAATACTTATCCTGCCATATATTAATGAGTATGACTGAAAAACAAAGTTCTTTCACAGTTCCTCTTTTGAAGATGAAGTATGTTCACATATTTTCTAAAGATATGTTTACACTCTAGTCGAAGTGTTTGCGTTTTTCATACTGAACATTGTGCTGGGCACTGGGAATCTCCATTCTCAGTAATTTTACCATCTAATTAGGAAGGTAAGAGTAGCAGGTATGATGCAGACACAGCAAAGTAAAAATATAAGTGGTTACTTGCCGGCTAAAGGCCGTGGTTCAGCAGTCGAAGTGTTTGCGTTTTTCATACTGAACATTGTGCTGGGCACTGGGAATCTCCATTCTCAGTAATTTTACCATCTAATTAGGAAGGTAAGAGTAGCAGGTATGATGCAGACACAGCAAAGTAAAAATATAAGTGTTTACTTGCCGGCTAAAGGCCACGTGATTCAGCAGATGGAGTGATTGTTCTGTGGTGAAGGAGTCAGCAGGAGTCATGAAGGAGCTGAGAGCTGTCAGGTTTTGAAGGATAGGAGAGGGGGGCACATTTTATCAAGTGGCACAGGCAGGCGATGCGAAGTCGGGCTTGGCACCTCGAGAGAGAGAGAGTGGAGAGGACTGTGGACCTGCTTCCTTGCAAAGCTGAAGTACAAGCTTCCTCTCAAGTGACCTGAGTCTTTGGAGACTAGCATTAGCTATAGTCTGTCTCTGTACCCTTAGCAAGCTAGAAGTCTGAAAAATGTGATTTCTCAATTTTCTTGGGTTTCGGAATAATACATTGTACTCCTAAGAAGAGAGTGATTTAATGAAAGATGGTACTACTTTCAGAAACTAGTCAGTAATCTTTCTTTCTTTCTTTAAAAAATAGGATTAAAAGAGTAAAATTAATAAGTAACAAAGGGACCGAACCTGACCTTGACTCAAGTTGTCTACATCCTATCATCAAGAAGAAACAGTGTCGGCCAGAGATTAAACTATGGCAAATGACAGAGAAAGCAAAATTTTCAGATGGAGAAAAATGCCGTAGGGTAAGATTTCATTGAGTATAAATATAACAATAAACTATTTTTCTGTGTAAAATTTTCCTGTTAGACTCTGTTAGAGATACAAAATGGATGCCAATAGGTTTATATAATTTGTCTTAACAAATAAGTGAAATGTAAACCACAGGACATGAAAAGGAGATTGTCGCTTGAAGACAGTAACTTATTCTTCTAATTTCTAAGACTAGAACTCGTTATTGCTTCTGCTACTGTTGGCAGTAGGCTGGTAGGCGTAGAGGTGGCCGTGTCATTCTGGAGAGGGGTGACAGTATGGTAAAGTTTAGGAAACTATTTTCTACATTTAGGTGGAGATGTTCTGCTCTGTCTATAACTACACTTCTACTTTGTAGTCTTGAAATCTTTTTCTCATTTGTTAGACTATGGCATTTCATAATTACAGAAATAGCTAATATTTTTGAGTCATACTATAGCCAGGCACTATTCTAAGCCTTTACGTGTGTTAATGCATTTTATTTTATTTTTTCAGCAGCCGTATGAGCTTGGGGCTTTTATTATCATTGCTTTTCAGATGACGAAACTGAGCCCCAGAAAGATACAGTAAATTGCCTAAGGTCACACAGCTAGTAAGCTGAGGAGCTGTGATTCAGATATAATGACTCGAGCCTGTGCTTCTTATGGCTGCATAACACCGCCTCATTATTTAGGCTGTTTAGTTTTAGGTTCAGTATTTTTCCTTATTGAGATCGAGCACTGCGTGGGTATGTTCAGTTTTGGCTTGGGTGACTTTTACTGCTTCGTAGTTTTACATGCTTTTTTGTTTTTGCACGTGCAGTTCACTAAGAGTATTTTGGGCTGTCCTCTGTGAAAGAGTAACGTTCTCTTTGTAGGAGGCTTTTAGGCGTGTGGGTAATGGGATGTCAGATGATCTGTCAAGTGAGGAAGATGGTGACGCCCGGACACAGATGATGATATTGCGTCGGAGTGTGGAAGGAGCCTCAAGTGACAACGGTTGTGAAGTCAAGAATAGAAAATCCATACTTTCAAGGCACATAAACTCTCAGGTAATTTTTATTTTAGTTAACGAAAGTATAGGCATTAACTCCTACATCACTGAATAGTAACAGGGTATTTAACATATTTTCCTATTGTTTGTTGGCTTGATTTTGGGCAGGTAAAGAAAACCACGACCAAGTGGTGTCATATTGTGCGGGATTCAGACAGTCTAGCCGAGTCAGAATTTGAATCAGCAGCCTTCATTCAGGTAACGAATCTTTTTAAGAGATCATTATTCAAGGCTCGTTGTCAAGTATAATAACTTTACCTATTCCTTTTTGATTGGTTGTCCCAAGGTACTGTGTATATTTGCTGGTCCCTCTCCTGCCTCCAGCTCTCTGTCCACCTGTCGGCAGCTTCTGTATGACTACTCACCCTGAGAATGAGCATGAACTCTTTTCTCTTTAACTCTTATTTTAAAAGTGTCATAGGTGATGCTCAGAAAGAGGTTACTCAATCCTCACGTGATGAATTTACTTAATATTCACTTGGAATATGGAGTTCATTCTTAAGCATCATTCCCACATTAGGTGGTGAGGACAGATTTTGGGGAAAGGATCCCTGCGACATGGGAGCAGTAATCCCAACAGGGCTAATGAGTGTATTGTACATTTGGAATATTATAATGCTGAGGCGAGCAGCATAGGTGGTGGTGTGGTTTTGGTTTTGATTGACAAGGCAGGCAGGGTCATGGAAAAACTTTCATATTTATGTGTGTACTGAAGGAGAGCTGCACAGCCCATCCTGTTCTCTGCCTGATTATCCTTTCCATGTGTGACTGGGCCCCTGGACGTGACTAGATCTATAGTCACAGTCTCAGTGTTTAGACGAGGGTAAACCGTGGGTGTCAGAAGGCTCTGCCGTGCCTGCATCCAGAGTAGGTCCTCTGGTTGTGCTTGCAGGAACCGCTCCATCCCAGGATGCCTTGGTCGGACAACCCCCTGACTTGCCAGTAACTTCTTAAAGGGAGTTCTTTTTAAAGCTCTGTTTGTCGGAGAGCCCTCAGAGTTTAACATTGAGATATTAAAATGTATTATTGTTATGCGAAGCCTTGTGAGCAAATGAATACATGGTGATCAGCTTATGAAAGCTTGCCAGCCATCGCCATAGATAATTTGTTTTAATTTTATTTTAGATGTAGCGTTTTTTTAAAAAATAAATACACTTTTTTTTTTTTTCTTTTCCTTTAAAGGGCTCTAGATCTGGCATTAATGGTGGCTCTCGAAGCCTCAACATGTCCAGAAGAGACTCAGAAAGTACCCGCCATGACTCGGAGACTGAGGATATGTTATGGGATGACCTGCTACACGGCCCAGAGTGCAGGTCATCTGTCACCAGTGACAGTGAGGGGGGCCATGTGAATACCCTTCACTCAGGGACCAAACGTGACCCCAAAGAGGATGTTTTTCAGCAGGTATGTAATGGTGATGGTAATAATTGCTAATATTTATTGTGTACTTACAATGCGCCAAACACTGTATTATCTCATTTAACTTTATAATAACCCTTAAGGTAGATGCTATTATTATCCCTAATTTAGAGATGAGGAAATTGAGCATAGCTTGTAAGTGAAGATATTGGGATTAGAACTCAGGGAGAGGTACTCTAGAGTTGCCCTAACCTAATTTTTTCTTCATAATACTTTCTCTCATTATTTTCCTTAGAATGATCCTTAATGTTCATTTTATAAGAGCAAGGTTGTTTAAATGGCATAGTAACCTCATATTACGTTTTCATAGACATCACAGTGTTATATGTGAGTTACTAGGAAATGCTTTGCTTGTTTCTATAATGTATAAACCAAGTGATGCTTTTAATTTTAGGTTTTATATTAATATCACAAAATCAGATAGCCTAGAATTGGATATTCCTTAGGTATTTCAACCTTCCACCTGAGGTAGATATTTGTTTACCAACCATCACGTCGTAATAATAGTTTCTGCTTAGGAATATTGTGACATATCTAATGAGGGTAATATAAAGTGCTTGGCACAGTGCCTGGCAAAGAGTAAGCACCTAATAAATGTTAGCATTGCTATTAATATCTCCATGAGATGATCAGTCAGGCCTCTGCTTAAATACCTGTGGAGCCGGGGTGATTATTTCATGAGACAGCTTGTTCCACTACTGGATAGATTAAATGATTAAGAAACGGTTCTCATACCTGCCTTTCCGATGTTTATTGACAGCTGTCATGATTCCTCTTAGCGTTTTGTTCTTTAGGCTAAATATCTCCACAGTGACTTACAAATAGTAGATGATGGATATGCAGTTGTTTAATTATTGAATTTTCTTGATTCTAAGATATCATTGATTTAGGTTACACATTTTTATGAAAAAAATCCTGGTCCATTAATGTATAGAATTTAAAAAAACCAGAAACAACATACTTTTTCTCATTAAAGTTTTAAGTTTCTCTCTCCAATTTTGCTTTCAAAGTTTGAATATAAATATTCTTTACATTCGATCTGAAGATTCACCTAAATCACATAAACCTTCAGTAGTTATGGGTAGCATCATAATGATCTTGACCTCCTTTGCACTGTTGGGATTTGCAATGTAATATTAAGGCATATGTAAGTGTAATTAGGTAAGATAAACTCACTGTGTCCGTTGGAATTCGTCATTTCCCAGTCCTCTCATCTAGCCTGTCCTCTGTTTCTGAATGCCATCGCTAACCACCCAAGGCAGAAAACATGGCATCATCTCTGACCTCCCCCTCTTCACCATGTTCCTAATTGGTCATCACTTTCTCTTGCTTCTGCTGTATAATATCCACATCTGTCCTCGGGCGTCCACCCTGCTTGGCGCACGCCGTCAGCAGCCCTCGTCTGGGTCATCACAGCAGCTTCTCTGAGCTCGCTCCCCTCCGTACCATTTTCCACGCTGCAGCCAGAACGATGTTTCTGAAATACACATCTGATGCCGTTCCCCTTACAGTCCTTTAATTGCTTTTCTTCCCCTTCTGGATTATTTACCTCCGTTCTTTTATTTTTCTGATACAGTCTCATCTCTGACCATCCATTCTGTGCTCCTCAGATGGTATACTTTAACTCAGCTGAACTTCCGGTTTCTGAAATGTACCATTTTCATGTGCTTCCGGGTCTTTGCACATACTGATTTCTTTGCCTGGAACGCACTTTTCTCCAGTCACCATTAGTTCGGCTCACACCTTTTGATTTTTCAGGTCTTGGCTTGAGTGGTACTTCCCTAGGAAGCCTTTCCTGTGTACCCCTGAAGTAGTACTCCTTCCTTCCCTTATCACGTGGTGTAGTGACTTCATTTAATCAGGTCTCTATAAGTCTAAGCTCCTTGATGTCAAGGACCACATTCATCTTGCTCCCCGTTGTGTCCATAGCGCATATTACACAGTAGGTGCTTAGTAAATATGTTTTTAACCGAATCAGCGAGCGCTCATCAGCATTATGCTAAGCGCTATGTTAATTTCAGAAAAGGGCAAAATGAGCAGCTCTTGGTGATCCGAGGGGACCACGTGGGTGAAATGGCACTTGCGCTGGTACTTGAAGAATAAGACGTGATATGGCAGAGGAATTGGGGCTGTTTTCATTGTGACCTTCTCTTGAGCTTTCTGTGCTTTGCTGTGTCCTTATTAGACCAGGCTTAACTCCTCAGTTACCATGTGATATCTAAGGTCTGTTGACACCTCTCATACCTAACTTCCTACTACCCACAACATAGTTGTCTTGCTGTAGAAATACTTTCCTCCTTAGTATCCCATGAATACACTGAATACACCAAGCTTGTCCTCGCTTCCACACATGTAGAGAGGAAAGCAACCGTGAAGATCACGGAATCTTACCTTCCGCATTGTAGGAGCCACTTAGCCACTCTCCAGGTAAGAAAATGGCTCCATTAAGAAAAAAGGGCCAGCAAATCAGCGTCAGAGAGGTGGTAATTGGAATGATGAGCTTTTTAAGGGGAGAGGATAGAATGATGAGGCCGACCACTGGTAGAGGTAGCCTGGGAGCTGGACAAAGGGGAAGAAATCCAATGAAGAATGAAGGTCTGGATAGAAATTGTTTTATATTTCTCTTCTCAGAATCATTTATTCTGGCTTCAGAACTCAAGTCCTGCCTCTGATCGAGTTAGTGCGATAATCTGGGAAGGAAACGAGTGCAAAAAGATGGATATGTCTGTGTTGGAAATAAGTGGCATCATTATGAGCAGGGTAAGATTGGATAAGTTTTCAGATTTTTCAAAACGTCTGTTTAGTGATCTGCACCTATTTCATAGCATTTTAGTGCTCAGAACACGGATTCTTCTTTTGAAACACAAATATGTGTGTTTTTAATTCTGTCGTCAGAATCTTTACTTGGTAGTAACTTTTTAGATTTGCTGCAGAGGTGCCTGTGAGCATGATTGTTCAGACATGCTCTTCAAATATTTCTTATCTCATGTAAGCCTAATTTTTAATAAGTTCTAAAAGTCATAAATGTGTACATCATTTTTATTTGTACTTTTTTGATTTAAAACAGATTTAGTTTTTAATAATTCAGTAGTATTTGATAAGTACTGCTTCATAACTCCACTCAGCTGTGCATTAATGATGGCCATTTTGAATTAATTCCCAGGTGAATGCGTATCAGCAAGGAGTAGGTTATCAGATGCTAGGTAATGTCATCACCATCGGATTAGCATTTTTTCCTTTTATATATCGACTTTTCCGTGAGAAGAGCTTTGACCAGCTGAAGTCCATTTCAGCCGAGGAGATCCTGACTTTCTTTTGCGGGGCACCACCTGTTACACCTGTTATTATTTTGTCTATGATTAATTTTTTTGAACGATTATGTCTTACGTGGATTTTTTTTTTCATGATGTGTGTGGCAGAGAGAACATATAAACAGGTTGGTTGAAAATTTAGTAAACTTTCTTACTTCTGCTTTTGTATGGCATCTTCCATTGAGTCATCTTTGTTCTCATGATTTCTTCTTTCTCCAAAAGTGAATGTGGGCAGCGAAGGGTGGATAAGTAGACTTTTGGTGTTCGTGGGTTTAACACTTGTGATGTTGGTTATTCACAGATGACTTATAATCTGAAATTTCGCTGCGCCCAGATGTAGGAGCCAGTGGCTTAGCCGGTGAGCGAGCCTAGCTGACTGCTTAGCACCTGCGCTTTAGGGCGCTTTGGCTGTTTTTTATCCATAGTGTGTGTGGTAACTCTCAAAGTGAAAATGCTTCTGGGAAAGAGGTCCAAATGAGAATTAAAATGATTGAAATTCAGTAAGAATAGGGGTTGAGGACTTAATATAGTGGTGATACATGTAAAAAAAACACATGATTTCGAATGGAAATGTAATATGGGAGTAAGCAGGACTTGTGTCTAAACATTTGTTTGTGAAGTTGGGGATTCACAAAGGTCTCCAAAGAATGTTTGTTGAAAATGTCAAGAGCATGAAGAAGTATATTATTGCATCATGTGCTTTGGAAACAGGGCAGTGAGCTACTAACAGCTTTTCACTGCCTGTCTTAGTGGTCTCTGATTAGAACCTCATCCTTTCAACATTTTTTATATGCTGGGAATGTTGTTTACAATTATAGAAGTATACAGAGACACATATGTACATTTCACTGTAATTTTTTTTAACCTCCTCTAGAGATTTTTATTTGCAAAACTCTTCAGCCATATTACTTCTGCCAGGAAAGCTAGGAAATATGAAATACCTCACTTCAGACTTAAAAAGGTGGAGAACATTAAGATATGGTTATCTCTGCGTTCCTTTCTAAAGGTGAGTTTTATTTAATTAACAACATATGCAAGAATATGCAGAAAGTGTGCTCATTGAAATTTCTGGCAGCAGATGCTCACTAGGAAGTGTAGTCCTGTACACTGGACAGATTGTCAGTGGCTGACAGACTCACTGGACATTAATTTGGACGTGATACATCTGCAAAGCTGGTAGAGGGTAGTAAATAAGAGCTTAGAAAGGGAAAAGAAAATTTAAATTCATAGGGCAGAGTGATAAATTGAGTATTGCATCTTTTTTTGATTTTTTGGTAAGTATTCTAGCTATAACTATGTCAGTGAGTCAATCATGCCCTTAATTTGGAACAGCATGGATTTCAGTGCTGCTTAAGTAACGTTGAAGATGTCCAAAATATATTAATCCTATGTCAGAAACTTCTTATAAACGTTTATTTTCACATTAATGTAGTAAAACTCAGTGTTCAGGATGTGAGGGCCGTTGCTGGCTCTAACGGTGGTCTGACTCGTGAACCTGTGTGTCTCACCCCACAGAGACGGGGTCCGCAGCGTTCGGTCGACGTGGTCGTATCTTCAGTCTTCTTACTGACACTTTCGATTGCTTTCATTTGTTGTGCCCAGGTAAAAGTTCCACACCTGTTTTAGACCACGTCACTGTGTTTAAGTACATATATTTTTAATGTGTCTACATTTCTTTAGCTATTTCGAATACTTGTTAATTTTCCTAACTTTTGACATGGGTCATTTTGAAGTCTTTTAAGACCCTGCGGTCACTCAAATTTAATTTCCGTTGGTAAATTTTGACTGATAATAAGGCTCTCATACTGTGATGGTGGCAAGGCCGTGATTTTCTAACTCCATCGTTCCTTCTACATTTGTTAGTTGTCACTCTAAGGTAGACTCTTCCTTTTTCCTCACTCATTTATTTATTACACTAAGGACCCATGTATTCTTTTTATTGAGTGGGCTATAATCTATTACTGTATTTGTTTTGATGTTTAATTAACCCAGATTTGGACCGTGGGAACCCCTTGAAGCCCCTTCCTGTGTCCTTTTGACAGGTCCCAGAATCTATGGTTTTTTGGGTGTTTTTGGCACTTCTGTGCTTTCTCCATGATGAGTTATGGGATTACCTTGTACTTTCCCATTTATTGAGTTTAAACTTAATTCTGTGCTCAGAGAACATACTCAGTGTTTTCAGTCCTTCGAATATGTAGAGACGTGCTTTATTATCCAGTTATATTAAATTTTTCAGCAGTACTTTGAAAGAACTTATATCCTGTTTTGGGGAGCCATGTTCTATATATAAAAACTAGTCTAAGATTATTAGTTATGTTGTTGAAATCTATATCATTTTTTTTTTTTTTTTTGGTTTGCTTAGTCTCTCTGCAATTGATAGAGGTGTGTTCGAGTCTCCTATGATGGTGGATTTATCTTTCCATCCTTTTATTTTTGTCCATTTTTGCTGTATACATTTTGAAGCTGGGTGAATACAGGTTTAGAAGTGTTATCCATCTTGGTGGATTAACTTTTATGTCCTTTATAGTTACTTTTTTTTCTCAATCCAGGATCCAATTCAGGATCCCATATTACATTTAGCTGTCATGTCTCTTTAGTCTCCTTTCATCTGGAATAGTGTCAGATTTTATCTTTCATGAACCTTATGAACTGTCTATGTTTCTAATATTTCTTAACATCTAGACTATTTGATACTAATTTAACTACACTAGCTGTCTTTTCCCTAGTTTTTGCATATCATATCTTTTTCTACCCTATTTCATTTATTTTGACTTCACATTTTAGTTGTGTCTTGTGATCAGCATATTCTTTGTTTGATCGCCTATTTCTTAATTCAGCCTGTCTTAGTATTTTTGGAGTATCCGGCCCATTTAACCTTAATGTAATTATTATAACTACAAATACTGTTTGGTTCCTGTTTGGTCTACCTGTTAATTTTCCTTTTTCTCTCCTTCCTTGCCATCTTCCCTATGTCAGAAACTTCTTATAAACGTTTATTTTCACATTAATGTAGTAAAACTCAGTGTTCAGGATGTGAGGGCCGTTGCTGGCTCTAACGGTGGTCTGACTCGTGAACCTGTGTGTCTCACCCCACAGAGACGGGGTCCGCAGCGTTCGGTCGACGTGGTCGTATCTTCAGTCTTCTTACTGACACTTTCGATTGCTTTCATTTGTTGTGCCCAGGTAAAAGTTCCACACCTGTTTTAGACCACGTCACTGTGTTTAAGTACATATATTTTTAATGTGTCTACATTTCTTTAGCTATTTCGAATACTCGTTAATTTTCCTAACTTTTGACATGGGTCATTTTGAAGTCTTTTAAGACCCTGGGGTCACTCAAATTTAATTTCAGTTGGTAAATTTTGTCTGATAATAAGGCTCTCATACCGTGATGGTGGCAAGGCCGTGATTTTTGCATATCATAATTTTTTTTTTTTTTTTGGTTTGCTTAGTCTCTCTGCAATTGATAGAGGTGTGTTCGAGTCTCCTATGATGGTGGATTTATCTTTCCATCCTTTTATTTTTGTCCATTTTTGCTGTATACATTTTGAAGCTGGGTGAATACAGGTTTAGAAGTGTTATCCATCTTGGTGGATTAACTTTTATGTCCTTTATAGTTACTTTTTTTTCTCAATCCAGGATCCAATTCAGGATCCCATATTACATTTAGCTGTCATGTCTCTTTAGTCTCCTTTCATCTGGAATAGTGTCAGATTTTATCTTTCATGAACCTTATGAACTGTCTATGTTTCTAATATTTCTTAACATCTAGACTATTTGATACTAATTTAACTACACTAGCTGTCTTTTCCCTAGTTTTTGCATATCATATCTTTTTCTACCCTATTTCATTTATTTTGACTTCACATTTTAGTTGTGTCTTGTGATCAGCATATTCTTTGTTTGATCGCCTATTTCTTAATTCAGCCTGTCTTAGTATTTTTGGAGTATCCGGCCCATTTAACCTTAATGTAATTATTATAACTACAAATACTGTTTGATTCCTGTTTGGTCTACCTGTTAATTTCCCTTTTTCTCTCCTTCCTTGCCATCTTCTATTCATTAAATATTCTTTAATGTTCTATTTAATTCTCTCTGTTAACTTGTTATATGCTCTTTCACTGCTAGCAACCCCAGAGATTACAACATCACATCCTGAGCTTGTTATAGTCTAACAAAATTATTAATTTACCACTTCCTCAGTAATGCTAGAACCTTAGAACACTTTATCTCATTTACCCATTCACTTTTTGTGTTATTAATGTCCTTCATTTAAATTTTACAAAAATTTTAAACCCTCAAGATATAATTATTATTGGTTTTTGTAGTCAATATTCACTTATATTTACCTACATACTTTTCCTTTCACTGCCTTTTATTCCTGCATTTCTGTTTTTTCTCTGGATTATTCACCTCCTGTTTGAAGAATCTGCTGAATTCTTTTCGTTTTTGTTTCAAAATGTCTTTTATCACTTTCATGTTTGAAGGATATCACTGGGTATAGATCTCTAAGTTGCCAGTTACTTTTAGCACTTGTGGGATTCTATTGCCTTATGATTTCCATATTTTATCTTGAGAAGTCAGCTGTTATTTTTATGGCTGCTCTTTTAAAAGTAATGTCCTTTTTCTCTGGCTGGTTTTAAGAGTTCTTCTTTATATTGGGTTTTATGACAGTTTGGCTGCTGTTTGTGTAAAAGTTATCTATTACTGCACAAAAAATCGTATCACCTGCTGAAGAGGTGGGCCTTGGTTGCCACCAGTTGTTACTTTTTCTCCCCTATTTATAACTAATTGGCAGGAGCGAACACCTGACTTAGACTAAGCAAAACATATTTCCTCTTTTGGGAATTAGAACCAAAAACCTGAATTGTCAGTGGTGGACTTTGGAGAAGAAAGGTTAGTTGGTGTCAGTGGGACCAGCAGGATGACAGACCGTGGCTGGAACAAGTCAAAATCAGGGGGGAATAGTAAATAAGAGTCTTGCAAGGCAGCGGAATTAGCTAAGAGGAGTGGAGATGGGGGCACAAATGGACCTGGGAAAGAGAGATCAGTGGCTACACTGGTGGTTAAAGAAGCTGGAAATGCGTTTGTCTTATTTTAGGTTTTCCTCATTTGTTACTTCTAGACCCGTGCTCTTTCGTGCAAAGGAGAAAATCTAGTAAATGTAGAGAAATAATGACTAATTAAATGATACCTTATGAGTTAAAACTTCTGCTTTGAGTATTAGTGATATCTTGTAAATGTTTTTAAATTGCTAGTGTAAAGGAGTAATTATAAATTTTAAGACAAATGAAAAACTTCACTTTTCTTTTTGATCCCTTATATAGGTTCTCCAAGGACATAAAACTTTTCTGAATGATGCTTATAATTGGGAGTTTTTGATCTGGGAAACAGCTTTACTACTTTTCTTACTGCGCCTGGCCTCATTGGGGTCTGAAACCAATAAGAAATACAGCAATGTTTCAATATTACTTACTGAACAGGTATTGATTGGTCCCCGTCAGTTGGGTTCAGTGGTTAGAGATGGCATAATACGATTCGTGCAGAAGGTTCAAGGTTGAATCCAGATTCTGTCACTTTCTAGCCATATGACCTTACAGGTCACTTTGCTACTATGTAATCGTTTCCTCCTTACAAAATGAGGATAGTATCTTCCCTACCTGCTCCCAGGATTGTAAGAATAAAGATTGAATGGACTGAAAATATGTTATATACTATAAAGGTTTTTTTATTGGTGAGAAGAGAGCATACTTTTAATCTCACATTCTACACCAAATATTAGATCTCTAGAATTCTTGTCATTTAAGTATGTTGAATAAGTTTCTTGGATTTCTTCTGTATCAGCCATAAAATACATTCAGTATTTGGAAAGTAGTTGCCCTATGTGAATAGCTATTAAGATTGAGAAATGTTTCTTATAAATACAGAGTAGTATAAACTTTTAATTTCATGTTTGTCCATAAGTGTTAAATAAAAACATTTGGTATCATTAGTTCCTTATTTTGCTCTAGAATTATAGTGGAGAATTCTTCCTATAAGGGAAAAAGAAAAAGGAATTAAGTTAAAAACAGCTGTCTTCTTTCATTCCAAAAATGTTTAATAAGGATGTTAGATGATTTGGGGGATACCAAGATGAATAATATTATTATTTTTGAACTCCAGGAGTTTATAGTCTGTTATGTTATAATTAATATTAAATTTTTCATTGTTTTGATATTTAAATTGCTTCATCATAGCTTTTGTGTGTGTGTGTGTGTGTGCGCGCGCCAAACTTGACTGATTTTGGATAGGGGCTGGGGTACATGACATAGGCACTCTGTAGAAATAGCTGCTGGAGTTTCAAAATTTATTTTACTCGAAAACATGATTTTCAAAATCTGCCAGATTTAATGAGTATAAATCTTTTTCTATGACATTTACTTTAATCTCTATTCCTTCCCTTAGATAAACTTATATCTTAAGATGGAAAAAAAGCCAAATAAGAAAGAACAGCTTACTCTAGTAAACAATGTATTAAAACTGTCCACCAAATTGTTGAAAGTAAGTAGTATCCTGTGATACCCGTTTACTGCCATTTAAATTAAGTCAGCACTTCACTTCTTGGGGAAGGCTGTGTAGAGTCAAAATGACAATTTCATAGTTTTAGGTTAATGACTGTATAAGAAAAAAATTCCTGGTCTTGTTACCCAGATTCTGTTGATTGCTGATGTCTGTCACATTTCTTTAATTACATTTAAAATAAAAATCACAAATAACATATTGCTCGAATTCACCTTAAAAAACTTATTTAGCTATTGGAAAAGTAGGTGAGCTTCACTACAGGTTTTTGAAGGTAGCTACCGAACATTAAGGAAAGACGGCCTTAAACATTCATCTTCACCCAAGACTTAAAAAAACAGCCCAGAATCACTGATACCTATTGAGAAACCACGTATCTCATCTCGGTTCTTTCATGTTTCTGTAGGAGCTGGACACACCATTTCGACTGTACGGGCTGACAATGAACCCCCTAATCTACAATATCACACGAGTGGTTATCCTTTCCGCTGTCTCAGGTGTTATAAGCGATCTTCTGGGATTTAATATACGAGTGAGTATATGACTGCCACTCTGGGGCATCTGCCTTAGTCTTAAAATTACTATATGTAATCATCTTTATTCTTCACTCTGTGTATGTGAGAGAGAAACAGACGAAGAGAGAGAGACAGACACACAAAGAGAGAGACAGAGGGGCAGAGCGGCATGGAAATAACTCTTGAAGTAAAGAAATAGGTGTTTTGATTGGTGATCCATAGGCTTCTCAGGTTAGATTTTTTCATTTTACACAAGTACAATAGACTGTAGTCTTGAATGGAACAAAAAATCAAGTTTGAATCTCCTGTCAAGTTAACAGCATAGATCGGTAAGGATCTCCCTGTGATCTTGGGAAACTTACAGAGGCAGAATGAATGAAAACCAAAACCCATGAACTGCAGTATATCACTTTTGATCCTGGAAATTTTTAATGTTTTTTTTTCTCCGTGGTGTTCTGTGGTTGCTATTGCCAGAGTTGATATTTTTCTTCTTATGTAAAGGGTTCTTGGCTCACAGTCACCTATATGTTTATATGTGTACCTATAAACCCCACCTGTTTGTCATAAAACTCACTAATTTTGGTGATTTTTCTTTCTTAGCTGTGGAAAATTAAATCCTGAGCCGAGTCCTGTGCGTGGACTTGCTCCCCTTGCTGGCATCAGCACGTACGCCTGAAGGAACGTGATGTCTGGAGGAACTGCGAGATACCTGCCTGCTTGTCCGAACACACTGGTGCCCTCGCTCTGCCTAACCTAATGAATCACGGGGTTCTCAGAGGAACCAGGCCTTTTCCAACTGGGCAAGCCTGCCGAAAACCTGTATTTTCATAGTTTTCAAACAATGTGAATAGTCGGGAGACTAAAGACTATGTGTTATGGTAACACAAGGACAACTTTCTAAGTTAGGGAATTGATTCTGGACATTTCAGCGCTGTGACAGTTACATTTACTGGAAATAGTCTTTTGGGTAACTATAGTAGATGCCCAAAGCATGAAGCAAATATGCTTTATTGGAAATATGCAAATCAGTACTTTTGTATTACAGTCTATAGAATTGGAGATTCCATACCTCTAGCAAACAGAGATCTAATTTAAACTATTTTAGGTTGAACTCAAATAAAATAACTTTATTGGAGATTTTCAGTTTCTAGGCTTTTTTTATTGAAGGAAAAAAAATAACATTTTAAACTGAGTTTCTGTGAAATTATGGAGAAATTTTTAATTACTTTGCAACTTTGAAGTTAACCTAGTAACTGTGTAGTTGTTGGTGGAAGAGTTATGCATATAATGTGCCGTGTAATTCAGTATGAGAGATTAAGTACATGTGCACTCATCCAGGCCCATTGTCCAGCGTGGTTTCCATAGAAACCATCTGAGCTGTGTGCCCCGTTACAGTACTAAGTGAAGAATTAATAGTTCCTCTGTTGTGCAGTTTGAAGTATCTAACCGTTAGTATAATTTCAGGTCCTCAGTGTCTGTGCTTGCAAAACTATGCCTTTGATGATTTAGATTCACTTATCAGCATCCTTTGTTACAGACACAGTCATATACATATGTTTATGAAAACGGTAGTAGTGTACTCGTAATTCTTACTCATTGTTACCTGTTTTGAAGAACCTGTTGAGGCGAATTGAAAGCCCGAACATTTTAATGGTAAGATTTTGTGAACTTTATATACATTAGAAACTTCGTTATTATATGTAAAGTCTGTACAGACAGACCTCATTTCACTTCGCTTTATTGTGCTTCACACACGTTGCGTTTTTTTGTTTGTTTGTTTTCAAATTGAAGGCAAGACCCTCTGCCAGCAAAATGATTATGACTTGCTTTATTGCAGTGGTCTGGAACTGAACCTACGTTATCTCCGAGGTATACCTGTATTCATGCAAATGATTGTATTGGTTACTCATATCCTAATACGCAGGAAAATTTTTGAGGTTTAAAGATAAATTTCTCAAGAGACCAGGGATTGAGGATGGACATTTCTGTGTTTATATTCTTGGTTCTGCCACTCACTAGATTATAATCTGGGGCAATTTATTTAACCTCTCTGTATCTCAATTTCCTTACCTGTTGAATGGGGATAATAACTACCTAACAAGGTTGTTCAGGTTAAATGAGGTTATCTTGTAAGAGACTCAGCACAGGATAAAGTACTTAGCACTTAGTAAACCTACGATAAACATTTGTTATCGCTGTTTAGAATTCTTTAAAAATGTTTCACTCATAGACTCAACTGTGAAGATAGAAACATAGGAAGCAAAGTTGTTGAACTAGAAGTGGATTAGCAAAAATATGCAGCCATTCTGAACGCTGCATGAGTTACAATTTCTTTTAAAGTAATATTCCATTATAGTGATTTACCTTTAGAAGGAACCGTTCTTGTAAAGGCACTTCAGTGTCTCGGGAAGTGGCTAAGAAAAATCATGCTTTTACTATTTTCCATAAGGAACAATAGAAATTGTCTCAAATCCAAGACTGAGCTCAGTGTAGATTTCAGACAAAGACCAATGCCTTTTTTCTCCTGCAAAAAATGCTGTTCTATTTTTAATTTGCAGTTTTTACACTGTGAGTTCTCTAGTTTAAATGCAGCATTTGGCATAGTTTACTCTTGTGGGTTGTTTCAATGATGATTTTGATGTACGATTGGTTTAAATTATTTTTCAAGTGGGTAAAATTCTATGTAAGTATAGTTGCTCATGTCAGCAACTTGGGAATCATTCTTGCCTCTTTCCTCCTCATATCTCACATCCACTCACCAAGTCTTTGAATAATTATTCTCTAGCTATTTTTCTAATTAGGCCACTCTTCTGTACCCCATTTCTACCACCCTACCCTAAGTCAACTTCCTTTGTTTTTTTGAACAGGTTTCTGCTCTCCTGCTCTTACATATGCATGGCACCCCTGTTCCTTAAGGCCAGTCTGTTCTCAAAAAGTTAATGTGTCTTTTCTGAAAAGCAAGCCTCATAATTTAGAACGCATTAATAGCTCACTATTACTTTGAAAATAAAAATCAATCTTTTTAGCAAGGTGTACAGGCCCACCCTGTTGAGAAAGATTTTTGAATCTTTACATTTAAAACATTTTTGCTGGGTATAAAATTCTAGTTTTAAAGATGATGTTGCTCTCCTGCCTCCTGGACTGCATTGTTTCTGACAGGAAGTCCACTGTCATTCTTTTAAAAAAAATAATTGGCTGCTTTTAAGGTTTTTATCATTGAATTTGTACAATTTACAATGTGTACTGGTAATGTTTTCATTTTTGTGTGTGTGCTTGGGGTTTGTTGCACTTATTGGATCTGTGGGTTTACAGTTTCATCAGATTTGGAAAACTTTTGGCTATTTTTTAAGTTTTCTATCCCCACTCTCATCTACCTCCTGGCATTCCAATTTACATGCACGCTTGGCTGCTTGAAGTTGACCCACAGCTTACTCAAGCGCTATACATTTTCCCATTCTTCTTTCTTTGTCTTTAGTTTTAGATAGTTTCTATTCTGTGCCTACAAGTTCACTAACCTATTCTTCTGCACTAATTTTCTGTTAATTCTACCCATTTATAGAAGTCATTTATAGAAGTTCGATTTTTTGATATCTTTCATAAGTTTCTCCTTAACGTGCTATTTTCTTTACCTCATTTAACATAATAAAGATATTTGTAATAGAGATAGTAAATAAGGACATTATGTAGCTAGCTATCATTTGTTGTCATTTTGTATATGTTCCATTAAAACTTTAAAAAAATAGGCACATTTAGCTTTGGCCCATGGACTATAATTTGCTGATCCAACAGCCCTTTTCCCTCTGATTACTGCTTATCTTTATTCACCTGTGCACATTCAGTCCTTCCCCCCCGCCTGCCTTTTTTTTTTTTGGTTTGTCACAAATTATCTCTTTTGATATTCATTTGTGCATTCATTACCAAATTGTAGTAGTTATAGTTATTTTTTAATGCCCCCTTTCACCTTTGTTATAATTATTTAGTGTCCTGTTCTGAAGTGTATTTGCAGTTTTCTGTCTCTGTCTGTCAGTCCAGAGATCCCCAGTCCCTGGGCCACGGACCAGAGGTTAGGAACTGGGCTGCACAGCAGGAGGTGTGTGGTGGATGGGCGGGCGAGCAGGCAAGCGAATCTTCATCTGTATTTGCAGCTACTTCCCAGTGTTAGATCACTGCCTCAGCTCCACCTCAGGTCATCAGGCATTAATTAGATTCTTACAGGCACACTGGTGGTCCTTGGTGCCAAAAAGGTTGGAGACTGCTGTTAAGTCATCTTACTCAAAGGTTTGTTTACTTTTGTCTTTTTCCATTAGAAGAGCTTCCAACGTTTCTTGGAATGTAGGTCTTGTCAGTTCTCTCAGCTTTTGTCTGCCTGGGAAAACCTTTATTTAATCCTTCATATCTAAAGGTCAGCTTTGCTGGATGTATTATCCTTGGCTAATAATTCCTCTCTTTCAGCATTTTATTTTCTTCCACTCTCTCCTAGCTTCTCATGTTTCTACTGAAAAATCTGATGATGATCTAATGTGGTTTCCTTTGTAGGTCAGTCTTTTTCTCCCAGCTGCCTTGAGAAATCTTCGTCATTAATTGACAGTTTTACTATAATGTGTCTTGGAAAAGGTCTTTTTGAGTTGCTAAAATTAGATGTTCTGTTAGCTTCCTCTAAAGTTTCTTTCCATAGGATTGGGCAGTTCTCATCAATTATTTCTCTGAGTAGGCTTTTTGTTCCTGTCTCCTCCTCTTCTCCTGTTGGTGTACCCATTATCTTTATGTTGCTCTTTCTGATGGAATTTCAGATCATTCTCACAGAGTTCTTTCACTTTTTAAAACTCTCAGTTCTCTCTTCTCTCCTTTCTTCTGGGCCATTTCTAGGTTTCTGTCTCTGAGCTCACTAAATCTGTCTTCTGTCTTGTCTGCTCTGTTTTCAGTGCTCTCTAGTACATTTCTCATCTCATTGAGTTCTTCAGTTCCAGAATTTGTTTGGTTCTTTTTTATAGTTTCAATCTCTTCGGTAAAATACTCCATTTGTTCATTAATTTTCTTTGTGAGCTCATTGATCTGCCTTTTTGAGTTCTTTTGTGTCTGATCGAGCTTCTTCACAACTGCAGTCTTAAATCCTCTGTCATTTAAGTCACAGTCTTCCGTGACACCGAGTTTGGTTTCTGCACTTTTCTGTTTGCACTCCCGTGGTACCTTGATTTATGGTATTTTATGGATTGCTTCTCTGCCTGCACACTTAAGGTAGTAAGCTCTTTTCTTGTTTAGATACTGTTTTGCTTCCTACAATGTAGGTTGATAGGGTACTTTTGTTTTTCAGTATATGGTGTTACAGCATAATTGTTTTTCTTACCTGCTCTATTTGTGTCTGTGGGATCACAGTGGAGTGGCATCATTTTGGTTAAGGAAGTGCTTGCCAACCACCTCTACCAGGGTCTGCTGTGGCGTAGAGAGGGGAAGGGCATGATGCCCTTTCCTGGGAGACTTGCTTCTGCCTCTCTTACAATCCAAACCATGAGGGCTTTAGCTGATTTCTCCACCATTATGATGGTCACAGGAGCTGCAGTGATCATGCTGCATCTGCAGTACCCATTCCTGTCCTTCCCCTCACCTCCCCTACTCGTTCCTATCTGTCCACCTTCAGATGTTCCAGTGCGTGGGTCTCTCAGACTTCTTTGTGTGTTGAGCAGGGGATCCTTTGTTGAGTTAGTTGTCCGGCATGTAAATTTAAGAGGAGAAACAAAGGAGTCTCCTCACTCTGCCATAATGCTGACATCCTCATCTTGGGTTTGACATCCTCTTTTGGGGTTTTTTTTTATTGATTGATATTTTTTTTCTTCATTTTGGGTCATATTTTCCTCCTAAGCATGCCGGGTCACTTTTTATTGGATGTGAATTTTACATTGTTGGATGTTGGGGTTTCGTCTGTATGTATATTCTTTGTTTTGGAATGTAGTTACTTGGAAACACTTTGTTCATTTCAAGACTTACTTTTAAACTTTGTTAGAGCAGGTTTAGTCTAAGCCTGCCTTTCTCCATTACTGAAGCAGTGTCTGTCTTAAATATCCTGATGCCTTGTTCATTATGAAGTTTTTCCAGTTTGGTGGTGGGAACATGAACTAGTCTCCCTTCAAGAATTTTTTTGCCTGTGTCTTTTTGGTGTTTCTTTCCCTGTTCTAGGGTATTTCCTTGTGCTGATCAGTATTCACTTGAAGACTTGGACGGTAAGTCCCTTGCACATTTTGGGAGCTCTTTGGTACTCTGTCCTGAAGATTCGGGCTGCCCTGGCCTCCCCAAATTCTCTGTCTGAACACAGTAAGTCTGCTTTGTTCGGTTTGGGTTCCCCTTTCCTACACTACAGAGGAAACTGCCTCAAAGCAGTCCTCTGGGCCGTCATGGGGCGCACCTC